ACAAAAATAGTGATCATGCACTGCTAACTAAATGAATAACTGAAGTCATTACCTCGAATGATTCTGAAAGAAGGTTTTTCATTGACGATGTTAAATTCTTCACGTCTGCTGTGACGCCCACGTCATGTTGTGTGAAGAGAGACAGAACACAGGCAGCTAACGGCTACAGGAGAGAGCAAAAAACACTCTTGAGAAACACCTCAACAGCTCAGGGTGTAGAAGTGTCAAACATAGAGCATGATGTAAACTACAGATGACTAACAGACTTTGAATGGATACTCACTGCCAGGGGAATAAGATGTGGTCCTCTAAGAATTGTGACAAAAGGCTCTGTGAACTGGTCCAATCTGCAACGACATTGTTAGTGAGTACATTTTGTTAACAAGTTCAAGAATAGTTTAACACGTGATTATCATGTTGACGTTAGACATTCTCTCAGATTTGTAACTTTTTTGCATAAAGCAGGGGTCTTACACTCAAATGAGCTGAGGGCCATCGTTTCATTAAGGGGCCACATCATTGTTTGATGATCAATGAAAAAAAAAAAAAAGTATAATAGCGCAAACAAGTAAAAATCATATTCTTTAACGATTATTATTTATAATAATTATGATCATAATTATTATAAATCATTATCATTTAGGGCCAGATGTGCCCTTGTCACGTTGTGAAATCACAACAATTTTTTGAAATCCTGAGGTTAACTCTACAAAAACAATGACAAACAAGATAAATATAAATCCTTTCTTAGCCTTGTTTTCCCCACTGTCCCCAACATGCTTGCTCAGTGATCCTGTTTTCAATATTTGAGAAACTCATTCACTAATTTTGCTCTACACTATATTGTTATAATTTATGATATAATTCATATATAATAATGACTACATGATTCTAATTCTAATGTCAAAACTGTACAATTGCAGGGAATTTGGGCTCCATAAATAAAACTGACTTAAGTGGCAATCTCTCCCCAATACACACACAATGATTAAAAAATATATACAAAACATACAAACCTATTTCTTTCTTTTATACAATCAAGATGCTTATCCCAGAAAATCAGGAGCACAATAATCATTTCTCTAAGTGCTGACAAAGTCCTTTGGTGCTGTGTAAGACAAACACACCAATGTTTTGTTAGGATTTCTTCTCATCAATGCAGTTATAACTCCTTTTCAAATATTTTTTTTCACCTTGTTGGAGCTGAACCTTTCCAGCGTATCGTGGATCATTTCCAGGAGAGTGTGTGGTAGACCAAGAGTCCAGGCAATGTCTTTTGACTTCTCATGGTCACTGGACAGAAGTATGTTTTGCAGGACTTTAAGTGTCTGTTGTACCTGCAATGTATCCTCGACTGCGCCCTCTGTTGGCTAATGGACCCAAAAGAGGAAAAAGAAAAATCGCTTAATTACGGTACAAACATTTTTGTTAAAGTATTGTAAACTGTAAAAAGAAAGACTTAATTACCTGAACTTTAAAAGCTAAAATCTCGACTTTAATTTGAGCTACTATTGCAGTACAGCATGGAAGTACTTTCTGTTGTTTGCATGGATCAGTTTCTTGCACAATTTGTTCCCAAAACATCTCATTGTCAGCATTCTGAAAAAAAATTAAGCAATTATGTACCCTCATTAAAATGAGAAAAGATTTTACTTAATTATTATTAAGATAATGGAATGCAAAACAGTCTTCTAAAATGTGCATCTACCAGGACAGAAAACAGCCAATACAACAATATACTTCCTATCACAAACACACCAAATTATTCATATGAAATACGGACAAATAATCACACTGCGATTATTGCTGCACACCTGAAACTATAGAACCAAACCAACACCAACTTAAAATGTTTTTAAAGGACTGTAAGGCCTGTGGGCAGAGCAAGAAGACAGACCAAACCAACCTTCAAAAAGCCACTATTACATCAACCGTCACTTTCCTGTACACAGTATAAAAAGTACTCCCCAAGTTTCCAGCATTTGTAAAAAGAGAAAATAAAAACAACTCACTGTTACAGTTCCATGTTGTGCTGGCTCCATTCGGCTGCAGTTGTGCTTCTTTTTTTTTGTTTTTTGGAGTGAAGCGCCCTCTTTTGATGTTGGCATCGTCACAGCTGCTTCTTCATGGCGTTGCAGGCCGTTTGGGTTTTCTGTAATGGCCAAAGGGCTGAATACAGTTGGGTTGGCTATCACTGTGCCAACACATAATAAAGGGAAAAATGTTTAAATTATAATAAAACAAACATACAGTGTTTTAGTGTGTAATGAAAAAAAAGTGTAAAATGCCACCTTGAACACCCTCAGCAACAAATGAATGGTGCAGGAGATCTGGCCAAGACAGGCGTTCTTTAGGGTCTTTGGTTAACAAACCTTTCAGGAAGCTCTGTAAGAGAAACACCAGACAGCTACTGTCATTAAAGACAAAGTTCACTTTTTGTGCCGTTCCACAATACCATGCAAATATTTAGTACAAATGAATCCAAAAATGCATTCTAATTGTTAACTTAAAAAAATGTTAATTGTTAAGTTAGAAAAAAATGATACAGTGCTGTAGAACATTGATACGGTATCTTGAAATGAAATATTGTGATATATCAGTGTATCGATATTTTCGCAGACATGTACCTGATAGTGACTTAAAAACAAACAGAATTTTGATTCACCACTAATGTGTGTAATGCTTATTTAAACAACCATTCTTCCTTTCTGTAGTCTGATCATCTATCAAAACCTTTACAGTTGTGTATTTTTTGTTTTATTTTTTCTTTCAATATTCAGTGGGATAAATTGATTCACTCATTTTAATTATGTTTTCGTAAGAATGTGAAACATTTGAATGCAAATTGTTGACTTGAATTATAATTACAGTTGATAGACACATCATACCACGCCACTGAAATAGAGAAGTAACGTACCGTGCAGGTGTTGCTCATGGTGTCGGGCCATTTCACCTGTTCTCTCACAATGAGTTGCACCAGGTGGAAGATGGAATTAGTGTAGAACGGAGGCATCCCTGTGTGAAGCTCATATAGGATGCAACCTAAAGACCACAGGTCAGCCGTGTGGTCATATGGCTTTTCCTCCACCAGCTCAGGACACATGTACAGCGGTGTCCCTTTGATAGATGTCAGCACCAACGTGGAGACACTCATGGCCCTAGCAAAACTGGAGTACAGTCATAATTATTTTTTCTCTATGAAAAAAGCAACACAACAACCTTTGCTTAAAATGATTAACGTTGATAAATTCTTACCCAAAGTCACACAGCTTCACCACCCCACTTTTTCCAAGGAGGATATTTTGAGGTTTTATGTCACGGTGAACGATGCGATGGGAATGTAAATAATACAGGGCTGAAACCAGCTGGCATGCAATCTCACGGACCTTAAATTAAGAAAAGGAAGAATAAATGTCTTTTAAAAATGAAAACAGTTTTTTTAACTAATAATCTCTTTTTTGCAAATAACAATTAATACCTGGATTTCTGGTAGCATTCCATCGTCCTCAACAACGTGAAACAACTGACCGTCTGCATACTCAGTTACAACCACAACCTGTTACAAGCAAATTCAGCAAAATGAATTTTTGGGGGGTATTTCAAAATAGAACTTGCTTTGATAGATCATCAATGAACTCACCTCAGTTTCTGTCTCAAAGCTGTCATAAAGTTGGACAATATTTGGATGTTTCAGACCTCTCATAATCTCAATCTCTCTCCTGAGACTTTTTAACTCCTTTTCCGATCGATCCAACTTTGACATGAACTTTAATGCGATCACCTTCAGTGAAAACAAAAATGTTAGAAAACAGAGCAAATAAAGATGTTCAGTTCTTGAGTGGGAGTCTTGTTATTAAGTAATATAGAAAGTCATACACCTTTAAACTGTTGTGTTTGCATAATACATTTGGGCTTTAGCCTAAACAAACATGCTACCAATACATATGATTGTACAGGTGTATAGAAACTATTAATTTTTTTTAAAATTATAGACTTTTATTGAGTGGCGCTTTGGTCCAGAGGCAATGTCTCTGTCATTGGTGTGGAACCCCAGGGTTCACCTCCTGGGCAAGTTCGAATCCCGGTTAGGGCGGTTGGTACCTTCCAGTGGACTCACCACCCGCAGGAAGGTTTGGTACGGTGCAATGTGATTTGGGTGGCGACTGCTGCCCCCGCGACCCGGTAACGGATAAGCGGATGAAAATGGATGGATGGATGGATGGACTTTTATTGGTGTACTAGTGGTAGACTGTTTGACAAGCTGCTTGAAGCCAAGTTATTCCTGTGTGAATGAGTATGACGAAATTGTACAGAGGAGTTACATGGGTGGATTCACAATTACTAGAAAAATAAATAAATAAATATAAACAATCTAAAAGCCTTGTCGTTTTTTTCCCCACAATATTAAATCAAAACACACATTTTTTGAACAAAACCGAACATATTAAGGGGTACACACATATCCCACAAACCTAAAAATGATTTACTACTCATGAGCAACTTCAGTAACTCCAGTACACACTACACTAATAACTGCTGCAGTTCTCTTAAATGACTTACCTGACCAGAACACTTTTTTCTGCCCTTGTAAACACGTCCAAAGGAGCCCTCTCCCACGAGCTCCACCACCTGATAGGCGTCCATGTTGACGCACGGTTAACGTAGCCACCTTAGCTAATTAACCTTAAGGTAGTGTCGCCGCTTGCTAATGAGTTAAACGTCGTGTGCCGTAATATTCATATTCGTCACTCAAGGATTGGCGATGAACCTGAATTCACGAAATGATGGCGTTGTTTAAACTATATTCGATATTTCCAACGACATCTGAGACATAATACAGCACATAGACACGCCAGCCAGACTAGCAACACTGGCGCTTAGTAACTGTAAACAAATCAGGCAACTGCTATAGTGGCGTGCCCTAAGAAAAACGTCATCACTGGGAACAGTCTTTCAAGGCCAACGGTCTGCCAGATTATACTGTGCATATTATTGAAAAATGCCCAACATCAGTGTTAATCTATCAGATGTTACCCATCAAATTATTACACACCGATGTTGGTAAATGCTTGGTTTAATCGATGTATTCATAAAATGTAATTTGACACTATTCTACTCGTTGTTTGATCGATGTAAATACGTTGTCTTTCCGACTTCCTGTTGTCCCTGTAGTTCTTCGTTTGTGATAGGTTTCACTCAGTTTTTTGTATACTTAACTTATATTTTTTATAATTATATTAACTAATCATACTAACACTATACCGCCTCAACTGTAAATGAAGGCTGAATGTAAAATAGCCAACACTGACAAAGAGAGGAGTTTTCTTATTTTTATTATAATAGAATGTCACAATAATCCTTGCCAGTCACAGCAAAAGTAATATTAGCGGCACACGTTAAAAACCAAAAAGAAATTAAAAAAATATGAAATTATTTAGAAAAAGAAAAAGCCCACAATTCAAACTCACACGTGACAACATAATTACAAAATTCAAAATGGAATGAATAGGCTTATTCATTTAAAATATTGCTATGATTAATGTCCCTGTCACTTAAATATTCAATACATTTTTGACATTTTTATTTACATTGTAGGATTTGCAACTGTGTTGTCAGATTCTCAGGTTTCAAGCTTAAGCATAAAAAACAAATACATTCTAAAACTTCCTTAAAAAAGACCTAAAAGAAGACAATAAAACTTCTGTGTTGACCTGTTGTGTGGACTACACAACAAATGATGACTTCTGTTTGAACTCCCCCTGAAATCAAATGGAACTAATAAACGTGTGCTTGACTTCTGCTGTTGTACAAAGCTTTGTAACAAAATGTAAACAAAAAGTATTGAAAGGTTGTACTCACATCATCACCCTCATTGCCATACATTGATGTAGGCTGGTAGACCACATTTGCCTTCCTGGATTTGGAAAAATTATAATAATGATTATATAATAATAAGTATCAGGGCTGAGAGCATATATATATATACACACACATACACATACCGTATGCTTTCAGCCCTGATACTTATTATCATATAATCATTATTATCATAGGGCTGAGAGCATATATATATATATATATATATATATGTGTGTGTGTGTGTGTGTGTATGTGTGTGACACAGACTGTCTTAATTCTAAACTAATTCTTTAAGACAACACAGACAAGTTGTCCATTGGCACAATTATCTTACCTTTCTTTTTTCTCTGTGGAAAAAACAAAGACAATTTCATCAGTTGGATACAATAGCCAGTAATGCTTGATTTATACACAAACAATGGATATGGGCTACTTCTAACTTGTAAATAATGTCAGTGAACATTTGTTGTACTACTTACAGTAGAATGTAATACTAGTTTTAGTATGTTTTCAGTGCAACATATTTTGCATTTGCTTTTGAGTATGTCATTCTGCTTACATCAAATGTACTGCCAAATCAATTATACAGTATAATGCACATTGATGGTTCAAATCTTTGTTTTTTTTAAGAACATATGAAACTTACTAGGCAGGTATCCCTTCTTTTTGGCATACCAAATTCCAACTCCCAGTAGGACAAGCAGAATCAGAGCTACCAGCACTCCAGCAACAATTCCTCCTGTATTAAGGTCACCTTAAAGAGTACACAAGTTTGAGTCTAAGCTATCCAAGCATTTGAAAAGTGGTAAAAGACTATTAGGAAATATAGTTTCCAAACCAACTGCATTTTTAATGCATTTTTATTGGAAACAAAAAATATGTTAAACCCTCTCTATCCAAAAGTTGGATGAAAAAAAGCCTGTTAAAAAATGAAGCACACGTACGAACTTCCATCTTCTTTTCTTTGCACCGCTGTGGGAGACCAGCATCATTATATGCCTCACAGTAGTATTGTCCTGAGTCTGCTTTGGTCACTCTGGGAAATTCCTGTGAAGACCAAAAGAAAAGGCAAAAATAATTACTAAACAAACAAAAAATAAAAATACAGCACAACATTACATGATACAAAAGCTAACCAAGTTGCCATTGTCCGTGTTCAGCTTGTACGTGGCATTTTGAAAACCAGAAATCTTGCTGGGCTCTGCTGGGAGAAGCATGCCATCCTTATACCACCTATATTTAGATGGAGGCGAGCCATCAACGTCATGGCAGGACAGCAACGCGGTTTTGCCAGTTGTCACTGTGGGGAGCACCCTACACTGAGGCACAGATGGTGGCACTGGAAAAAAAATTAAACGGTAATTTTTTGTATATCACATTAAACAGATTTTCTTGTTAGAATATAAGCAGATCTCTTACCCAAAACAGTCACCGTAACCCTGGTTTCTCCAAACTGGCCATTACCAGACACCTCACAGTCATACACTCCGTTATCATTTCGGGTCATTTTGGAGAATCTCAAGTTACTAGTATGCATTATCACTCGATCCAAATATGGTGCTGTGAAAAAAAAACACAGTGTAATGAATGAAGTATCTTGTTGGTTTTGTTATAGCTTCATATAATTGAAAACATATTTGCAAATGAACTGCACAGTTGTACACCTTGGTAGAAGATTATAATTCGGCTACAAACTAGGTGTTTCAAACACAATTGTTAGGAGATTTATCTGTAACATCGATTGATAGACGAGACTGGACATGTCTGTGTACTTACTTGTAGGTTTACCATCAAAAACCACATAGGTCTGTGAGCCTTTTAAATCCTTAAATTTCCACTCAACTCTTGCATTTGCACCATAGTCTCCAGAATAAGAGCAGGTCAGGTCCGCACCTAAAACAGTGAACAATTCAGTTAACAATATAAAAACACCACCTTGCCATGAAGCCATTTCAGTAACAGACATAAAACAGTCACCTGAGAATCAGATCCAAGCAACAGTACAGTACCAGTAAGTTGGACTAGATTTATCTGCTGATTTTTTACTTTTTATTTAATATAAGGTTTTTTGTTTGTAATGATCCCAGTTACAGAGCCAAGCAATCTCTCAACTGGGTTTAAAGAAAGAAGATAAACATGTCCCAGTCAATCACTCTTGAATATGATTGAAATATATATGAGGAAACACTCTGTAGTGGGAAGAACAGAAATCAAAGTAAGTACTCTAAGTTCTTGTTTTTCACTTTTACTTAAATATTCACAAAGTCATTTATCAAAAAAGATCAATTAAAAAAATTGCAACTTATGATAAAAAAATCTATTATTCTTTTCATACAAGGAATGAGTATTTCTCAACTGAAAATCTGGAGAATGGATTTTGCCAGATTGTACATAGTCATTATTGTAACCGATTCAGAGTTTTTTTGTGTCAATTTCTTTAAGAATAATACTGCTACTACTACTAAGAAATCCAGTGAGAGGTATGGAAAGAACCTCAACCGCTGTGGTGAATCCTGACGGATTTAATTATATACGTAAATCCAGTGCAAACTTCTTTTAAATAAGTAATTGTATTGCCATTGCTTACCTTCATTCTCTTTTACACGTACTTCTGCTGCTTTGGTTGTGACTGAAAAGGCACCAATACCTAAAAACACAATAAAGTAAAACTTATTACTACAAGCCATTCAACAAGATTCCCTACGTGGTTAACTGAAAACAGTACTTTAAAGGCCACATTTATGAAGTACACTACTTGTTGTTGTCCCGTGGACAGATTCCTCCACCTGAACAGTGGATTTCTGCAGTTCTGCTGCCAAAAATAGAAAGCTTAAGTGGACAGTTAGGAAAGAGAGGGGGTGGTCTGGTGATGGCACTCAAGTCAAGTCAATTTAACCTGTTCAAAAAGCGGTTGAGCAGGTTTACTTTCACCACAACCCCTCCACTCTGCTGTTGTTCTTTCTGCAGCCAGTCTTTCTCAGTCTGGCCTAGACAATCCAATCAACACCAAAATTGAAATGACAGCACCTGGTTTTTATGTCTTATGGATGTTGTATAGTTCACATTTTTTGTTGGACATAAGTATATTTTAAAATAAAATGTTATTTTTTTAATTTAATGTTGTCAGATATTAAAAAATCTGTGATTACAGCATGTGTTCTCTTTGGCAAAAAAGGATAAACAAGAAGAAATGCGTAACTATTAAGTCACATGGTTCAAAAAGAAACAATAAGAAGGCACGTACAGTCAGGGCTACAGGAAAAGTTACTTCTCTCATTGGTACCCAACACAATTTATAGTGAAAATAATCATAGAAATTGGCTGTTTTCTTTTTCTTAATAACTATATGCAAAATATATTTTTCTCAAGATGCCATGTTTTCTCTGAAATTGAAAATACATAAAACTATAATGACCATAAACACCACACTACTTAATAATATTAATAAATAATATTGACCACTTTTTTTCTTTCAGAAGGCTCTCATGATGCATAAATGTACCTCTGGAGAGTTTTAATAAACAGATTATGGCTGTATTTTAATACATTAATTTAAATTCCTCACTTTTGGCATAGTACAAATGAATCACATATTTAAAGTTATTCTTTAAGATATAAGGTATAATATCATAGGACTATCTAAGTCCTATGACCTTAATAAGTCCAGAAGACCAAGTTTAACAAATAATATATCAGCTTTTGAAACAAAAAGCAAATTTGAGGATAATGTAGTGTGCAATATATAGAGGAAGTAAAATGAATCGTCATTCATTTTTAAAAAGCTATCCTGCATTTTAGGATTGCTGTATTTCAGGATTACTTAATTAAAAATGGGAGGGAAAAGCTAACTCTTGTGTCTTTATTTTCGACAAAACAGGTGTTGAACCACCCACGTATTCATGTCCGTATCCGAATTCCAACTTCCATAGACTTACTTTTCATTTTTTTGTTCTAAAATATTGTAAATCCACGATTACCACAACTGAGAGTTCACCGAACGTTGTTTCAATTGAGTAAAATACTACGTTAAAACACTAGTACATTTCCTTTGTCCTAAACATAAAACAAAGGGACTCACCTGGCGCTGCGTACAGGAGGCACAGTGTCACCGAAACTAAGCAGCGATACACCAACATGGTGGACGACACTACTTCACTTCGAAATAATTCTGTTAAAACAACGACGAGACAAACCCCAACTTATTCAATGCATGAAATGAACACATTCTTTCTGAAAGTGCACTAAAAAGTTGTCTCAAAAAGCGCTCGTACCTGAGAAGTCCGCGCAGTATCGTCAAAAACACCACCAGCGACTTCCGCTCACCGAAACTCTCCAGCAGGTAGGTGCCCAACTGACGTCACAGTCGGAAATAGGTGGGCTGTACTACGTACCGAGGGGATTGGCTATGTGATCCATGTTGAGCGTAAACACCGCTGAACACCTTTTACTACTCATAGCTACTCCAACAAGTATTTGTAATCGCCACGCCCCCTTCACCACGGAGGTTCTATTCACCTAGCTATTCAAATGTATTTCTTATCGTTTGTTATCATTGGCGGACACAGACATTTTGGGGGGCAGGTGTTCAGTGAATAATAAAGGCACTTTTTGTTATGTAGAACCAACAGGTGCCTTATTATAACAGTGTGATATTTAAAAGAAACAAAACCTTACAAGCACATGTTGCACATTTATTTATTTCAATTTTAAAATTACTATATACAAATAAAGTATGATCTTTAGCATTGGAAGAAACAAAGACTGCTTGTCTATAAAACAAATCACAATGAGGCTGTAACTATAGGACACATTTGAAAAAGCTATTTGTCAGTTTAATTAATACCATATTCAGGTAAATGCAAGATTACTGTACATCGTGTAACATAGAAATAACAAAATAAAATTAGCTAATATAGCTTCACGCCCGATTCAGTACTGTACTGGAAAATCTTTTCTAAACTTAAAATCCAAAGATTAAAAACTACAAATCTGGCTAAAATCCATTTCAGTTTTACCAAGTCTCAAATTAAACCACATACTTCAACGGTAAATTGATTAGCAGTTCCTTTTAGAAATGTACTGTTGCAGATACTGAAGCTGTACTTTAAACACCAACATGTCGAAATGTGATTCAGCAAACCAAATACGTTTTCTTCCAACTATATCCAGCTGAATATAATTTGCCACTTTTGGAAAAACAATTTACTGTTTTGTACCTTTGTAATTCTTTTTGCATCATTTTTTATTCAAATGTGTTTAAGTTACAGAAAAATCCAAGGGAAATTTTGGAATCTGAAATAGTCTTTTAGGGAACCCAAACACAAGAACCGAGCCTCTCAGAGGAGCAGACATTCAAACTAAGTCTCCACAATATGAGAAGTAGATGAAAGGGTTTATTTTTGGCGATGCAGATGCTGCGGAGCAGAGCGGCATAGTTGCCATGTTTCCTAGTTATAAGGGATTTTGTCTATAAAACAATAGTTATTACCTACACACATAAATACTAGTTGGGAAATTGCGGATTTGACGTCAAGTTGAGTATTATTTTTAAGCGTTTTCGAAATGTTTTAATATGTATAAGCCACCTGAGGGAGTGGGTTTCGCCTTTGGTCAGGGATATCAAACTAATTTTCACCAAGGGCCCTCATCAGCAAAACAGTTCTCCTTGAAGGGCCAGTTGTATATGGAAGATAGATATCACCCCATAGCATATTAATAAATGTTTCTGCAATTGATATTATTAATTCAGGTTTCAAAAAATTGTCTTTGCTGTGAAATAACTTTCATCAGGTTAAGAAACTATGTTGCATGGACTTTAAAATACTTTCTAAGCTCCTGTGGACCATACAAAACTGACTTGGCGGGCCGCAATTGGCCCCCGGGCCTTGAGCTTGACACCGTGCCTTTGGTGCTTGTTTTGTAGACGCGGTTGCTTGTTTCTCTCGCAAGATCTGGCAACACTGCAGACTGGAATTCGGACAGACAGACCCGCGACTGTACTCAGAGACCGAATATTGGGTAAGACCAAGGCTGTCGTTTCAGATATAAAATAATCCAACAAAGAGCATATGATGTTCAGATTAGACCAGGTGTTTGTGCTACGAACATGTGTGCGGTTCTAGTTCTGCTTTACCTCAGCTGACACGTTCTTCTGCAGCTCACCGCAGTGCAAATATGCTGCATTCTGGGCGGAGCCCTGTCTAGTTTTAGACGCAGGAAAAATGTTTCTGTGCAAGGTTTTAAAGCATTAACTTCTAAATGTAGACATGCCTATTGATTTCGTTTCCCCCTAAAAATGTTGTTAGTAGTTGCACTGATTCGGAAAATGTTCCGCTCATGGAAGTTACTGCTGCTTAATTTGTCCCATCATGTCCATCGTTACTTTGTCGCAGGCTGTAATACCACTGGTGCTGTGATCTGATGTGATCATCACCACCATGGAGCTGCAGCACTTCACAACCGCCTGTCTGCTCTTTGCTAACACAGTAATGACACAGCAACCTCAAAGTATGTGTGATTCTCCTCCCTTTTCTATACTGTCATGTCATTGACTTTATACATTTTGGGACTTCTTTCAGTAGTTGATTTATTGTCAAATAATCTTTGAAATATTTAGATTTTTCATAATTCAATTCAATTTAGGCGTCCTAAAATCACATAAATAGTAATTGTATTTGCGTTGCAAGTTCTATAGATGTTTGTTTTTTCCTTGTAATAACTGAAAATTGTTTTAAACTTTCATAAATCCAAATGTTTAAATTTTTGTTTTTTTTAACTCAAGAATTACTATATTTTGTGTACCATGTTCTTTCTTAAACGTGAAATTTTGTGTACCATGTTCTTTCTTAAACCATTCTTAAACGTCGAGTCATGATGTAATTTACACTTTTAAATGTGTAAAATGCAGAATTTAAACCTTTCTCAAGATCATTTTTATATTTTATTCAGTCCACCTTGTCATCAAGAAGGTACAATTGTAATAATGCATTGTCTTCATACCATTAATGCTCATATTGAATTTGCATGAATATCTGTGTGTATGTAATATAAGGCATGGGGTTAGCGCTGTGTGTTTTCTGTTTGCGCTGGGTTATTATAATATATAAACATGGAGTTTGAGTTACTTGAAAAGCCAAAAATGAAGAAAATATACAGTTTATAAACCAGTACTTCTACTAAACATCTGCTGCACCAAAACCACAAAGGTAAATTCAGCAACAAGCCTACCAGTAGTAGCTTTACTAATAAATACATTTTATACAAAAGTTTAACCCTTCTTAGTCATCTCACCGTCAATACATTTTGTAAAAATGTGTTTTGTTTATTTTTTACAAAAATGAAACAGCACACATTTTTCTCTCAATTTTGCTGTGGTTTTGCAGCAGGAGTATTCTAGGATCTATTCCCACATTGTAGTGATCACGTCACCCAGTGGCATCCTTGCTGTTAGAAGGTAGATGAAACAGTCATCAGGACTGGAAAACAGAATATGACTACAGACAGTTTAACATCTTATTTACTGTAACCACCTGTCATCTCTCTGTTCTCCTCCAACATTAACATTGACCTTGCTTTAAGGTCAACGTCTCTTTTTGTGAGACACTTTCTACTAGCTACAGTACCGACTAACTCTACTTTTCAACCAACCTACAGCTTATACAGAATCTAGGATTAAATTGAAGATGACGTCAAAAGTATTGAAGCATTGTTTTGTACACATTGTTTTAAAAAGAATTAATATCCCATCATCAGCTTATTTAATAACATCTAATGGAAATGAAGGGAAAACACTTGTGTTTTCCCCTCATTACAGAGAATTGAATCCTCTTTGTATCTCTTTTAGTGAACTCGGTGTCCTCGTTTCTGTTTACACCACGTGGGCCTCAGATGTTTCCATGTCTCACATACCTGGAGAGAAACGTCAGGGTAGACTGTGAGTTTCCACCCACTTACCAGGTACCTGGTCCTTTCTGTGAGTACCGACAGGACAGCCGACTGGTGGGTAGTACTTATCCAAATGCAGTCGTCTATGTTTCCATTGAGGACCGCAGAAGAAGTAATGTCAGCCTGGCCACTCCCACTCTGTGCCGCCTGACCTGGGCTCCACTGACTGATGAGAAGCCCCATACCTACACCTGCAGAGTTTACCAGGGCAACAGCTGGAAAGAGAACAGCTTGGCTGTTCACCACAGTAAGTAGAAGGGCTACACCTTTTTATTTCCATTCTAGTCCTTAAATCTAAACGTACACTCTGATTTGTTGCAGGGGTCCTGCCAATCTGCTCTGCTATAAGTGTTACGTTCCAAACGGCGCCGTGGTTTTTGTCCGTTGTGTTATCACTTTCTATTGCTGTTGGCCTTCTAAGTCCATGAAAACCATAGGAATTTATTTAATAAATTACATGCTTTTCTGACACTGCTCTAGTGGTTATTACTTGAAATGATTGAAAATATTTGCTGTGCAACATTTTTCAAATCTAAGAACAAGGACCTTATGTTACCCAACGCCATGTGTCTGGTATTAGAGCAGCTATTTACACAGTATTTAAAGTGAATCAAAAACTGCTCCACTTTTGTTATTTCACAATAAAGTCTGTTTTTGGACAGATGTACACGTGTATTATTACAGGAACATATATATCAGGTCTGTTGGCTTTATGACAGCAGGGACATCATTATTGTCCCTGATGTGATCAAATTAGTTTTAGTATTATACTCTCTAATAAAAGAAAGGTCAAATAGATTAAAAAAGTGTGAGTTTGGCAAAGGACATGATGCTGCATAGCTGGCGCTTGCACTCACATATTTGAAGTAGAAAATCAATATTTTCTCACGCATCTGGTTTTATTTTTCCGATTGTTTCTGTATTTTGCACAGTAATAATTGTCCATTGGTCAAATAAAATTTGCGTCTGATTATCATCCACTGGTCTCTGTCTTCTTTGGGCAATCGTGATTGCTCACTTATTTTCTCTCTCTTCATTCAATTATTTTGAAATGTATTATTGTATAATTGATGAGTTGTGTATTCAGAGCCTCGACCAACATATTAGCAGGGGAGGGGGCACCATCAAAAGGCCCTTTAAAAATGAAAGATGTTGCAGGTGCCCCTGTTTTTAAAGCTCTCTCTCTCTCTGTGTGTGTGTGTGTATACCTGTATCTCCTTGTCTGTGACTTTTCCTTCAGGATTAATGGCTCGCCATCAAGTGCGTCTGGGATCTTGTCCTGGTCCTCAAACGTTCCGTTCCACTCAGAAACCGGACCTACAGACAAGGTCACATCTATTACATTCCTTTCTTAGATACATCATTAAAAGGTTAAATGTCAAAGCTCTATATATTGGATCAACCTTGATTCACAAATCGTAAGTAAGTAACCACTAACATTCAAAATGTATCACATACATATCAAAATCTGGAAAAATACCAATAATGAATGAATAATGGGATAAGTAAAATACCAAGGAATGAACGCAGTGAGTTGTTTTCAGAGGTATCAGAGAATTGTGCTCAATTACTCCTCATTCACTGGAGGCCTATTACTGCGAGAAAAAACGACGCCAAAAATGATCCTTTAGTTTGCGTTAACGAGATACATTATAAGTAGAATCATAATATAACTATATAATTAACAGCATCAGTGAAGCCTAAAGAAAAACACGTCTCTTACCACTATTTCTTTCACCACTAGATGTCACTGCAAGCTTATGCGGATCAGTAGAGGACAGTGTGACGAGTGGTTGGTCTTATATTGTTATTATTACTGAATTATCCCTTCGTGGATCAGTAAAGTTTATGTAATTCTATATGTTTGTTGTATATGTTGTTGCATTTTTGTAATTTTGTTATTTATTCGAATGTCTGTTATTTCAGTGTGTGTTGGTGTGTTTGATCAGCAATTAGACCTTTAAGGCAGTGGTGTCAGCCTCATTTTGGTCCAGGGGCCACATACAGTCTGATTAGATGTCAAGTGTACAATCATAACATAATTACCTACAAATAGTGTTATGTTCATGTTTTTCTCCTTTTTTATGTTAATAAGTACAGGTTTAATCGAAATATATACTTATATTTAATTAAGCATATTTTGACAAAACATCACGAACATGAAGTGTTTGTGCATTTTTTTTCACTTCAAAAATCATCAAGTGGGCCAAATTGAACGGGTCGGGTCGGGTTTGGTCAGGTTTACAAAGTAGGTTCTGGTCTACAGGTTCTGCCACTTTAAACTCTATTTTCTGTTGGGTTTTTTTATATAAATGTAGGCGCTGTTTGTGTCGGCGTTTCTCGGGTGTGCCATGATGTGCGAATGGTCTACCGTGCCTTGATTTTCTACACGGTGTTGATGTAAGGTAAGCAGGGCCCTTTTGAACGCGAGTAACCCCTGAACTAAAAGAAAAAACAGTCACTGCAGCATCAGCAGCAGAAAGTCATAGGTGCGGCTTTTAAAGAAACATTCCATCATCATTTACAAAAAATGTCATTCTTGAGGACAGAGCCAGGCGTAAACGCACAAACGCATCTTCAGAGATTTTTCCGCTTTATTTATTTTTAAACACGAGTGTTGGGGAGTTTACAATAAAAGACATGCTGTCGAAGTGTTTTCACGCAGGCAGTAACGCCCTGGGACGAGCTTGAGCCTATACCAGAGCAGCGTGTTCGACGCGCACACGCACTGACCTGTGAAAGAGGACTCTCCCTGCTGCTGATGTTGATGTTGATGCTCTGGATGGAGCATATCTAAAAACGCTGTTTTTATATCCTTCGACATGTGATGAACTGAAATTGTCATCACCAACACACTAATATGCCTGTGAGTATTTGTGTGCTGCGAGTTCGGGATGGGTGGATTAAGCCACGGGAATAACGACGGGATTGGCAAAAACATCGCTTTGCTGTGTCGGTGCTCTGATCGGTTTTGATGGCGCAGTCGTGGTCTGGGGCCCGACATGAACTTGAATCCTGGAATTTCTATAGTGAATTACGTGGAATGTTGTGTGCCGCATCCTGATACAGACTGATGAGGAGAACAACAAACACTGATTAAGCACCTGTTTTTTTTAACGGATCCAGATATAAGGGGGGGCGCTGTCTGCTGTACTACCTATTCTGATTTAAGGAGATTGTTCAAAAGATTTTTTTCTTGGAGATACAAGCCTCGTGAAGCGCTCAACTGTAGTGATCACGCCCATAGAGGAAGACCACTTCCACCTGCCTACTCCTGCAATCAAAATAAGTATGTGTTGCATGTTCATGTGAAATTCAACCGAGAGACACGGTTAGTTGGCCTGTGTGTGTGACTCAGTGGAACTCCCCGCACTCATTTGTGCCCTTATCCACACTATTAAATGTGGATAATGTGTATTTTTAAACTTAATAACTAGGGTGAAAAATAAAATTGGTGGAAAAAAATAGTCTTAGACTCTAATAAAATAAATACTGACATACCTCAAAATGATGCATTATAACACTGTTAAACTTTCAATGTCTATATACAAGTTAGAAAAGAAAACAATTTATTGGCTGAAATGATTCATATAACTTATACTTGTTGAAATAAGCAAAGCAATGTTTTAAACAAAACAATGTTAGGTGACAAAGCCTCTGAAATATTCACACCATAATTGTTCCATTGGTTTTATGTTGCCTTAATACAAGTAACAATTAAAAATCAAACAGGTGTGTTTTTATCTTTTTTTTTTGTTTACCTCAGAATTGTCACTTGATGTCACCGTGAAGTGTCCTCAATCAGCTGTGGTAGACGTGGTCGCTCTGTCAGTCTCCCACTGTCTGGCCTGCATTCCAAGTGTGACACACACATCATGGGCTGGGACAGAGCCAAAACAGAAAATAATAAACATGAGTGCTGGATATGGGAAACCATAGAAATAAGTAAGAGTGAAACAGGGATGATGATCCAGGATGAGAAACCATTTTTTACTGTCCAGTACGGCAGGGCGAGCGGGTCTACCGCACCTGATAAGGACACGACACAAGTGACAGAAGACGGTTAGGTTAAAAATACACCTGGATTGTATGAATATAAACTGTAGGTATATATTTACATCTTAAGTTCCACTGATTAAATTAATGGTGAAAGTAAGTGAAATTTAAAAAATAGATATAAATCCTTTGTTTTAGTGCTTATATTACCATTTGCATTAGAACATATGTATTTGTGATGAAACATAAAAAGGACCTAATTTTCAGGTATATTTCTAGGGACTGTGACCTTATAGTTGTTAAAAATGTAAAGAAAAAAAAAACAACAATTCCAAAAATGTCAATAAAATACTCAAGATGATACTTGGTATTGTTTTGTCGTCTACAGAGCTTGCAGTTTTATTTGTATAGTCATTAACTATTTTGGAGTATAACATAGTTATATACGTTGCAGGTTAAAAGTTACCTGAAAAACGTATTACTTATTAGTACTATGACTTGGTGTTTTCTTTTAAACAGACACTAAATATAATGCTCTTTATTTAACATTAACCAATGTTTTCTATGACCACATTTTTAACACTCCTCACACGTCCTGCCCTTATGGTGGACAGAACAGAGAGAAAAAAGCGTACCAATCTAAAAGGACCATTAAAGGTCTGTCAGTGTTCTTACAGCATATATTGAAGTTGGTAATGGACGCGCACTAATGGAAGGATGATCAATACAAGCCACGGTCCATTTTCTGCACTTTTCCAATTCACTTAAGAATGTATTAGACAAATAGATTATATAATGTCCATAGTTGTTGGGTGAGGTAAAAGCTGACAAAGGAAGTGCATTGCAGAGTCTTCAGGAAAGATTCCAGACAAATCATCAGATAAGGACTTACTAAAGGGTTAGAAAAGAACAGCTAAGGTCATTGGCAGTTCAAAGATACAGAGACATGTCAAAAATGTTTGGGGGGGCAATTGGGTTTGACCAAAGGTTGTTGATAATGGAGTTGCTAGGCCGGAGGTAAAGATGATACAATAGAAGATTCATTGATGTGGTAAAAGAAGATATTTTGTTGTTTAAGAGCTGAGAAGGCCAGAGAAAGAGTAAGCTGCCCCCACCTAGCATCTGAAAGATAAAAAAGAGAAACAAAGTGGTTAGCGTAGTGCAGTACACACCTTTATAAACATGAATTACCACGACAAAAATCAATAATCAATCAATGTAAATAGTAGCAGGAGGATGTACTGTAGCGTAGTGAGTAATAGTGCTGCTGTGATGTCACAGTCCAGGACGTGCAGGTTGAATTCTAAAGTAACAGTTAGCATCCAAGGATAAGTTGCATTGTGGTGCACTAACAACTATGACCAGTGTACTCTGCCTATCCAATGTATCATGGCTCATTATCCCTTTGCTTTCTTTAGAACATTTGCTTTGCTTTGTAAATTCTTTATCTTATATTTCCATGCTACCCAGATGTCAGGTAGATTTGCAGTAAGTGTATCCTCCATGGTGAATCCAGGAACACAGCTTATATTGTGCACAACTGCATGTAAAAAAAACCTTTTAGTGATGCTCTGGGATCCTAACCTATTTTTTATTTCATGTGTATTGTTATCCTGAACTACCAGCAGACACTCCAGGTATCAGATCATCCCAAAGCAACATCCATTGTCAATACAACAATTCTGTTTACATTTAAAATGAGAAGTAAACTCAGTACAACATCAATCAAGTTAGTTTCCCACAAAATGATAATCCGACCAGTATGTTTACGATGTAGCATTATGTTAAATGAAAATAAGTGAAATGTTGTGTGCTTATCTCCACATCAATAGGAGAATAAGGTATTTCAAAACTGACGTGTGTCTCCTATGCAGCCCTTTAGTATGGCTGAGAAGACACTTGAACACAGCTCTGTCAGTATCTCCATGGAGGAGACCAAACATCACAGTGCAGCACCTCAGGAGGCCCCACTGCTTACACACCTAAAAAAAGTGGAAAATCATATCACAGAGGCTCAACGTTTCTCACATCTTCCACGCCGTTCTGCTGTTGATCTGGAGTTCAATGAGCTGTCCTACACAATCCGAGAGGGTCCATGGTGGAAAAAGAGAGGTACATTTACGTTCACAAAACTCTATGAGAGCTTTATGTCTAATATAACATGTGAAATTACACATGGGTATAGTTTCAAATATTTTGGACATTTGTATTACAACATCTCCTATTTGCCAGGTTACAAAGCACTCCTAAAATGCCTTTCGGGAAGATTCAACAGCAAAGAGCTCATCGGCATCATGGGGCCCTCTGGTGCTGGGAAATCCACTCTAATGAATATCCTGGCAGGTTACAGGTACGAATGAAGGATAACTATAGGATGTTAAGATTTTTTCAGTTCTGAGCATCTGGCTAAATAAATAATTGATTGAATTAATAAATACATTGAATAGAACCAAATGTTTAGAATGTATAAAACAGTGGAGTAATTTATGTCAAAAGGTTATTAAACCCTAACAGATCAATTAGGTAACCTATTATTCTCACAGAACTGGCAGAAGGCGGGTCCTGTGTTTATTCTTTAGTGCCAACAATTTTGCATTTAACATGGGTTACAATGGCAACTGCTAAACTATTCTTTTAAAGAAAAGAACTCAATATAACGACCCCCTCCCTGCCCCCAGCATCAACCAATTCAGTGCCAACTCCTCAAGTAGCGTATTTTGTAATGCTGTTGTGTGCTTGTCTTTCAAAAATGACAGTAAAATAGCAACAGCATTCTTTTCTATTTGGAAACAGGGAGACGGGCATGAAGGGTCAGATCCTGGTGAATGGACGACCAAGGGACTTAAGGACTTTCAGGAAAATGTCCTGTTACATTATGCAAGATGACATGTTGTTGCCTCACCTCACAACAAGAGAAGCTATGATGGTAAGGCCACTGCTGCTAGCAGCATTTTCCCACTAGTTATAGGAAATGAGGTGTTGTTAAAGTGCCTGTCTTTTTAGGTATCTGCCAACCTCAAGCTGAATGAGAGCATACAAGTAAAAAAAGAACTTGTAAGTATGAATTGGATTTTCATTTACCATACACATTAAAAGGGCAAATTAAAATTAAGAAGGCCACAAAAGACACAAAAACATTCAGTCTTTTTTGTCAATTAGACCATGTTTCATGATAAGAACAAAACACCATTCCCAGGCCTTATTGTGTTGCATAATATTAATATGTTAATAATATACAATAATTTGTTCTGTCCACAACAAAGAAGTCTCCATTTCACATCCCTTTCTTCTGCATCTAGGCTTTTTGATTCCACGTTTTTTGTAAACAATGTTCCTTAAAACATGTGGTAAGTTCCGTTTGTGTTCTAAAGTAACTTACTCTGTGTTTTGAGGTGGATGAGATCCTAACTGCACTTGGTCTCCAGGAGTGTGCCCAGACACGCACCAACTCCCTTTCTGGAGGTCAGTGTAAAAGACTAGCCATCGCCCTGGAGCTTGTCAATAATCCTCCCGTCATGTTCTTCGATGAGCCCACCAGGTAAGATATCACTTATCACAGGGGCTACTTTTATTGCCCACTTCTTAATATACATCTGTAGCAAATGTTTTTAAAGACATGTTGGATATGAAGTTGCCAGGCAGGAGGAAAATAGAATGACCCCAGAGATGACTATTGGGAAATGTAAAGAAAGCGACCCCTAAAAAAGATAAAATGAGGGTTAAAATTAATATATAATTTGAATTCCAAGTGTTTACATCTTAATTTGCTTCCTGGATTAGTGGTTTGGACAGTGCATCCTGCTTCCAAGTGGTCTCTCTTATGAAATCTCTGGCTCAGGGCGGAAGGACAATCATCTGCACTATTCATCAGCCTAGTGCCAAGCTCTTCGAGATGTTTAATAAGGTAAATTGAATTGAATTTAATATTTAAAGATGATCACATCTAGTCCAAATTTACTGCAGCTGCAAATCAGGATATGAGAGTTAAGCATGAGTAATTTTATTCATCTGACACACAATGAAGTAGTAACCATTTAAGCTATTCTTTTCTGAAATATTAAGTACTTTGGAAATGATGTAAATTTGTTGTCATCATACACCTGTTTCACCAGCTGTACATCCTCAGTCAGGGTCAGTGCATATACAAGGGCACAGTTCCATACCTCATTCCTTATCTGAAAGACCTGGGCCTCCACTGTCCAACGTATCATAACCCTGCTGATTTTAGTAGGTCGAATATCTTTTTAAGTTCATGTGTATTTTTTTTATCAGTACGTTTGTGACGTTTACTAGCTTGATATCTGTCTCTTTGTAGTTATTGAAGTAGCATCAGGAGAGTATGGCGACCTGAATCCTGTACTGTTTGAGGCTGTCCAGAGTGGACTGTGCTCAGATGAGTGCAAGAAGAACTCAAAGAGTGACTCTACATTCCTTCCCACGTGTTACAGTGTAAGTGACATTGGGTTTACTTGATGGTCTATACATTTTTCACCCTATGAAACCATTTGTATCATATTTGCTACACAAGATTAAGAGCCAAATTCTCTCTGTTCATTTTTTGGTTACACAAATCCCCTATAGTAGTTTTCTACAGATACGCAATTTCAAATGTTAACTTTCAGATATGAGTTTTCAGTTTTTCTTCATGTTTGATTTGATATAGCTGTATATAGGGTTTCTGTTAGTGGCGCTGTATTTTGTTAAATGTTGCTAGATAAAGAATTAAACTGTTTGCATTAAGTGTAAAAGTTTACTTTATCACTTTTTCTTTTGCAGGACACAGGGACTTTGGAGAGGCATAGCTTTGCCACCAGCACATTCACACAGTTCAGCATCCTCTTTAAAAGAACTTTTATTACAATAGGCCGTGATACGGTAGGATAACTATTTTACTCATTAATTTAACAGTAACCTTATTAATCAGATTGAGTAATAAATTCAACTGTGGATTTTTGGCTATACAGCCAAAAATGTACACACATAATACGCCACAAGTATTATTATGATACTTGTCACTTGCACTGCAGCTTTTATATTTGTCATGTTTTTTTTAGGTTTTGACACACCTACGGGTCATGTCACATCTCTGTATTGGAGTGCTGATTGGCTTGCTTTATCTGAAAATTGGAAACGATGCCAGCAAGGTTTTTAACAACACTGGTTTCCTCTTTTTCTCAATGCTCTTTCTCATGTTTGCTGCCCTAATGCCCACAGTTCTAACCTGTAAGTCTGTATGAGCAACCTGTGTGTACAAATTGCATTTATACATTTTTAGGGGGTGATAATAAC